CAACATTGTGTTAGTTACAATAATAAATATTTGGAAAAAATAGGGGTCTTTTGCCTCTCCCACGAAAATAGGAAAGACAAAGGAAAATATTAAGATGGCTGAAAATAAAAACAAAAATGTCTTGGACTATTTATTTTGTAGTTACTGAAGTAATATTTATAGATGTTGTAGTAGCATGCGAAAAACTCTGGTCATAATGGCGAGAGTGCTTCGGTATTCTACAAGGGAAAGTGCTTTATAGAAATCCAATTTGGCCTCCAGGAATGAATGACTAGTGCAATTCATGTTTTCTTCTTTTGAGACAGACAAGCTCTGCATTGCCCTAGAACACAGCATATATATGTCTACTATCATGCCTCAGCCCTTGATAGTCTGTTTTTGATAGACCTCCCTTTTCCTTTCATCTATTCAATTTTAGATGTCCTCCAAGTCAGTCATTCTACTTCCTTCCATAATGCTTTCATGATTATTCTAGAACATAAAACGTTCTTATCTCTCAGTCTTCTAGAACTGTATTTTCAGTTACAGTCTCGTACTATTCTACTGACTCTCAAACAAAATAATGTCATGAATGTCCCATCACCAAGTTTAGAATATAGAAGTTTGAAGTTGCCTTACTTGTTTGAAGGAAGAAATAAGATGCAAGATTTAAGCATCTGGCATCAACAGCCAGATTCCCTTGGCTTAAAGCCCAACCTCTACCATTTACTAGATATGAGACCTTGTGGAATTTACATAAGCTTTCTCAGCCTCAATGTTCTCATCTGTAAAATGGAGATAATAACACCATCCATATCCCTTTATTGTTATGTTGTAATGATATCTATCTATCATCTACCTATCTATCTATCTATGCCCTAATCTCCCACAATCAAAAACCTGATCCTTTTTATCATAATTTGGATTCTTAATAAAGCAGATATGATATACCATGACCAAAATATACCCCGAGTGCTTAGAAGCTTGGCTTTGATTATACAGCCTTCCAAACTTGCACGCTGAATTCAACTAATAACCGTGCTCATTATCTCTGGGAGTCTGAAGGTGCTGAACATCGCTTGGGTTGCCATGGGTTGATCTGGACTGCAAACACTGTTTTTCTTCAGTTACTCCGCTGCAGAATAGGATACCACTTTGGGAGAAATTTTTCAACCATAACAACTTACAAACATCATGTTAGAGTCTCCAGTGGCACTTTATGGGGTAGGTTTCATGTTCGTGTGGGAAAGCTGCCACAGATTAGACAGGAATTGCTCATACATTCATCATCTTTTTCTTAAAAAGGTGGTTTTGAAGGATATATGTTTGAAAAGTGGCCAAACTTGCATATACAAGTCCCTTATGTATCATCAGGTAAGGATAAAAACAAATTGAGATGGACTGAAGATATCTCTACTTTTGACAGCAGCTTGCTGTGTCTTCACACTTTGGGAATTTCTATTTTATTATTCCTTAGAGAGTCCACGGTGCCCTCCTCAGCTAGGCCCTCTCTTATCCACAAAGGCTGAACAGGAGTTAATCCTATCCACATTAAATCAGTCCTCTTGCTTCATATTTACTAGAAAGCACCAACAATGAGAGGGAAACACTGTTTCTGAAGAGCTTGACAAAACTAAGAGAATACTCAAGAAATTATTATAAATAATATATTAATCCAAATAACTTGTATTTCTTATTTGGACTGTGGTCAATTCCTTCAATAAAATATCCCTCAACACAGCAAAAATTCTATCATTTCCACAAGTGCAGAATTTCAATCTTATTGTTTTTGTTTTTATCAGAGGGTGCCTTGGGTGCCATCTTCTACGCTGCAGAAGCTCGTACCTGGCCTGTGAGTGGGACGCATGCTTGCTGAGAGTGAAATGTATGCTTGCTGATGAAATCGCTAGCTTTGTAAAATGACTAAAAACAATGGTCCTTACCCAATTGGGGGAGAGAGAAGTTAGTTACAGGGACAACAAATATTTGAATTGCACAAGGAACCAAGGTGTGCTTGCCAAATGTCACAAATATTCAAGGGATTTTGATTTGTCCTGGCTAGGTGCCCAGAAATGAAGATAGAGTTTCACATAGTTGTAGCCTACAGTGTAGGCACTGAGCAATTTCACAGAAAAGAAAATAGGAAGGTGTTTAAAAAAATGGTATTTAAGGTTTTGCGTGTTGAGTCTCCTGCTCATCAGATTTGACAGTGTTCCTTTAAAAATCAGCATCTCACCTCCATTGATTTTCAACTTCACGCTTTTTTTAAAGCTAGACATCTTCTATTTTTAGCCTGATGGATGAAGTAAATTAAAGGAGAACAGTATCCATAGAGATGAACTCCTCAAAAAATTGTTAAATTACTTCTGGAGAAAGTGAGCGGAATAAGATTAAACAGTCACAGCAATGCCGTAATGCGAATTGGGTGAAATTTGGGTTGCTTTGACTTAAATCTTCATGTTTCCCTTGTCTTGCTATTAAATTGATGGCCATTTCAGTTGTCTCTGAACTTCTTACATGAGCTCTGACATTACAATCTGGACGGCCTTATGTGTGTTCTGCAACGTTTCTCTATAGGTGTATATTGTTCTTTGCTATTTGGTGATAATATTTTGGGAACCAGATTTAAAACTGGGAGATTGATGTTTGCTGGGACTCTTAGATAAAAACATGTAATTTCAGTTTTAGATGGACCTACATGAATTCACTAGTTTTTCTTCATAAGATCTGCAAAAACATAAAAGGACCCCTGAAGTGATAAAATCATATAGGTATTCACATATAAGAACTAGGCAAAATTTAAATTCAATCTCTGTCATTCCAGTGTTCTTTTCACTGTCTTTTAAATTTTATTTTAATTTTTAATTTTTGTGAGTGCATAGTAGGTGTATATGTTTATGAGGTACATGAGATATTTTGGTACAGTGCATAACAATCACTTCATGGAAAATTGGGTATTCATCCCCTCAAGCATTTATTGTTTGTGTTATGAACAATCCAATGATACTCTTATAGCCATTTGAATACTAAATTTTTCAGTAAAAAAAATTTTAATAAGATATATTTTTATGAAGCCAAACATTTTTTGTTGTTTCTGCAGGCAAGTAACAGCAATAACCGCATCATCCCCTGATGACCAGTGGACCAGGGGACTAGTTCTTCTCTAGTTTGATCAGACTTCCCTATGAACATCATCCGCGAATCCTGCATTTGAAGCAATAGAACAAGCCAAGAAATGGCTGAGAGGTCTTTAGGGATGAGAATATCAATGGTGCTTATCTTTGCTCGGTCTGGCACCAGCCCTGTTGGCATCGACCGTGTTCTTTCTGCATCCCCAAGTGTCAGCCCAACAACAGCAGACGCTGAAGAAAAACTAGTGAGATCTGTACCTGAGTGGCAGTTCTCACTGGAGTCCTCAGAATAGCTCCAGGCCTTGGCGCTACTCTTATGTCTAGAAGATTTTTATCTTACTCTTCTGCCTTCTAAGCCAATTTCAAATTTCTAATTTTTCATAAAATGTTCTGCAGTTCCAGACGGTGCTTTCAGATGTATCTTTCTCAATCGCACTTATAGTCCATTTCACCCAGTTGGGCATACTTTTCTCTGATTAGCAAACTTTCTGTGCTTTTTCATGCATTTCCTCCCACCCTGTGGTTTCAATAAGACTCTATAATTATAAAACAACAACAACAACAACAACAA